GGTATCTGAGGAGGGCGGGGCGGAGGAGGCGGAGGGAGCGGCCGGCGGTCGGCGCGCGGGAGCTGAGCTGCGAGCATCTCTGGGGAGGCCGCCTTTTATGGTCGTTATTAGCGCCCCTGTCTAGACTGAAGACGACACCTCCTCTGTGTGTAAACAGAGGCGGCGGGCTCTGGCGGGAAGGGGGGATGGCGCGTCGAGGGGGCTCGCGGCCCTCCCCTTCTCTGGCCACCGGAAGATCAAGGCCTTTTCCCCCCTCCCCCCTCCCATGTGCTCCTTGCGATGTCAAGGTCAGAAAGACCTAGTCACGGTCAAGGCTAAAAGAGGAAGAGCCTGGTTGGTTGCGAAAGGCTCTGGCCCCCTCCTCCTCCCAGGAGCTCCTCGCTTCCCAGGGCCCCTCCATCCTCCCCCAACGCAGGTCTGGATACACATCTGATCCAGCAGTTGGAGGTTTTTGAGGGGTGGGCTCACGCCAGCAGCCTGGGACCAGCACCGTCCTTACCCAGGCCCCCTGAGTCGCACCCAGGTGGATCCTAGCGTGGGGAGTTCTCTTTTGAACAGAGGGGCTGCCGCCGAGTCCCCAGCTCCAATCCCCTGAGCCATGGAGGATGTCAGAGGGCTGTCCCTGCCGTACTCCCTCACTGCTGACCCAGCTGTCTGTGGATCAGCCGCAGGAGCAGATGGCATAGAGACAGCGGTGCAGGAATCTCCCGGGAACTGCTGGCTTTGCTCCCTCAGGTGGGTTCTTGGCTGTGGGACTGCGGCTGAAAGGCCCCGTCTGCTGGCCCGGGGTCTGGGGATGAAGATGTTGGTGGGGCAGGACATGGAAAGGATGTCACTGAGCCCTCCCTGGCAGCCTGGGAGAGTGGCCCCCAGATGGAGAGTCCTGTGAGGCTCCAGCCCACCCCCATCCAGGATCCCCGGTGGGGCATGAAGGGTGGAGAATGCCACCTCAGACTGTGAGAAAGACAGCAGGGGCTTCCATCCCAGAGGGGAGGGCTGTCTCCAGGAGGAGCCCCTGTGCTCACAGCCCTGCTAGGCCCTTGCACTCTCATATTTATTGCAGCCTGACTCTCACACCAACACTAGGAGACTGGCCTTAGAAAAGAAAGCCTTTTTATAGATTTAAAAGAAGAAGAGAAAACAATTCTATACCCTGAGATAAGTGCCGGCTGGCGACACTCCTACCTACATAGTTGCACACACAGGCAGGAAAGGCTGAGGAAATTCTCCACTGGTCAAAGGCTCTAACTAAACACACACACACACCACACACACCAAAAAAAATACCCCCCACACACACACACACCGCACACACACATACACCACACACACACACACCACACACATACCCACACCACACACACACACACACACAATTCATTCATTGACACACACACCACACACACACACACCACACACACCCCCACCCACACACCACACACACAACACACACACACCCACACACACACACCACACACACACACACACACACACCACACAACTTGACAGGAATGTCTCACAGAGTCCCCAGTGAGAATGCCAATTCTTGGAGGACAGAAAGGTAAGGGACCAACACGATCAGGAAAAGAATAATACATTTTCCCAGCGTTGCCACCCCAGAACACACAGTCACACAATACCTGTCTCACATGGGAGTTCCCATTCTCATGCTCACTTACTTTTATGGGAGAGGCATCTTAAAATTGATCCAGGCATGACAATTCCCCCAAATCCATTCAGGCACATTTAATCCAGGGCACGAGAGGGTCTTACACACATTGGGACTCACAAGGACTCAGAGAGACTTCAGTCTTTGCCTGGGTTACCAGGGTCCCAACACAACCCCAATGAGCTTCCACAGGCTTTCTCCTCTCTTCTTTTTTAAAATTTTTTATTGATTTCAGAGAGGGAGAGGGAGAGGGAGAGATAGAAACATCAATGATGAGAGAATCATTGATGGGCTGCCCTCTGCACACCCCACACTGGGGCTGGAGCTGGCAACCCAAGGCATGTGCCATGGAGTGGGGTGGGGGTGGGGATCGAACCGTGACCTCCTGGTTCATGATCTCCTGGTTCATAGGTCAAAACTCAACCACTGAGTCATGCTGACCAGGCTCTCCTCTTTTTCATCTCCCTCTTCTGGGGCTTTAGTGCCGGTCCCTCTGTGTGTGGAAAGATTCACTCATTTGATTATGTGTGGGTTTGTGTGCAGAAGCGGAGGGCCCCTCAGAGAACTCTAGACTTCTTCCCCCTACCCCCCCCCAGTCCCCAACTTCCATTGTGTGTACATTGCGTGTTGTGGGACTGTCCAATGCATCTTCAAGTCAAGAGAGGTGGGGACCATATCAAGAGAGCCCCAGACCTCTTACCTATTCAGTTTCTTTTTCTGATCAAGCATACATTTAATCTTCAACTCTTTTCATC